TGGGCGCTCAGGTCTGAATGTAGCAGCCCGCGTCTATCCAAATATGTCTGCAATTTGGAGCATTTTGTGAAAGAAATACCCCGAATTGGAAACTATTAGTCCCTAATTCGGAATGAATAAAAATATTTCTACGACAGCCCCTGATTTATCTTTTCTGCTTTTGTACTTTTATTTTTGCATATTTAAAATAAGCAAAAATACAACATGTGACATGACATTGAATGAAATGAAATGTATAAAAATGAAATGAATTAAAATGATGTTACACTTACCTTCTTGGAATTAATCAAAAGCAAGAGTTACCACCGCTGAGGGCCTACGTCTTATATGACAAAAACAAAGCCACTGCCGGTAGGCTAAAATTAGTCTGCTTCATATATTCATTCATTCAAATTTAAACACTAAAATTTACTACACCCTGCGGCACAAGTGCCAATCGAACGTGTTCAAAGTGAGCTAGTCAACGGTCCCTTAAAAAATTAATGCCACAGGTCGGGGACCACACCACAATCTGGCGACGTCCATATAGTAGTTTCTGCTTATGTCGCTAGTTTGAGCGGCAATGACGTCATTTCTTATTAGATCACATGATAAGATGTAACTTTCCCGCAAAATTTTCGGAAAATAACAAGATTTGAAATGCCAGCAGGTAACATGGCGACCGTTGTGGTTACCACTGCAGTCCGTTGCAAACTTATTTCTGATTTGGAATATTTTGGAAAATCGCTAACGTGGCGGTAAACATAAAAATGGAGCTTTTTAATGGCAACATTTTCGAAAGCTCCTTTTTTTTCGCGTAAAGGTTTTTCACTGGCATAATACGGGCGATTCATAATAGTACGTCTCCAAAAGTTTGCAATGCGTTGGCCAATCACAGCGCACGAAATCTGTCGACCCTTTCCAATTACGCAGTTGGCCAACGAATTTCGAGCATGTGATTGGTCAACGCGTTGCAAACTCTTGGAGGCGCACTATTGTGAAACGCCCGTATTGAATTCGCTTACTCACGAAATTCAACACCTCCCGTGCAACATTCGACCGACAAAACTCCTCCGTCCGCTTTCAGAAACACCAAATGAAAGGAAAGTTTCATTTAGATCCCGGGTAGCATGTTTCGTGTACGTTTGATCAATCAGAGTTATTTGTATTTTTATAGTTTTTGGCCGATCAAGAGATAAATGTCATCTGCGAGCCGTGATCTAAAAATAACTCAAAAAGTGGGTAATCATTGCTCAATCGAGCGGACTATGCAAAGTCTTGAGTCGTCGTTAGATTGTGGTTTGGTCCCCAACCTGATGAAACGTTGGGATGGAGACCAGACAAAAGGTGCTTTCAAGCGTGTTATCCTTGTGAACACGAGTATATCTCGGGTATCCAAGTGTCAGCAACCCGTGGTTACGGCAAGCGTGGGAGTGTAATCATGCATCAGGTGGTTATTTCAAAATGGCAGAATGGTAACGGTGACAGAATACACGATGTGTTTTTGAGTAAACACGTATGTGATTCTGTATGAATCTGAAATTCTTGAATCAGCTGAGACTTTGGTTTTGTGTGAGCGAGTTATTTCAGTAACTGCAAAAATAAAAAGTAACTAAATTTAATGAATGACATGGTATAAAATTAAATGAAATGACACATGACAAGTATTTGTCCGTCTTTCTCAATTTCTTTCTTTGTATGTTTTCTCTTTCTGTCGTTCCAGTTTCTGTTTTCATTTCGTCCCGTACGTACAATTTTCTGGTTTTGTTGATCGTTTTAAAATGTGTTGTTTTTCTTGTTGCCTTTGATACGTCTCTCAGGTTTTTTTAATTCAATATTTCCTAACTGTAGTCAGTTGTATCATTATGGTTTCCTTTTTGTGTTCATTATTTTCTGTTTTGTTTTTTTGTTTTGTTATCTGGTTCATGTTGTCTTTTTTGTCAATATGTGACTTTTTAAAATACCACGCTTTTTATGTACATGTTAAATTTTTGCAGTGTATGCATGTCTGTGCAGCTCGATGGACTCTGGGTGACCAAAGGAGAGGGGGACATAGACGTGAAGTGGAGACCAAAATGCCGGGTCATGCTTGTTTCATTACACTCCTCTGTTCAAAAGATTAACAAAGACAATGCAATTTCCAGGGTTTCATAACTGAAGGCGCTATAGCTAGTCAAACGTCTGGTGCAAAGGGGATGCAGACCAGTAAATAAATAAGCTGCCGGAAAAAAAAAACACTGCTTTAAAAGGCAGGAGAGATACAAGACTGTCAAAAGTTCAAGACAGATATCATATTAAAGCTAATATCGTCATCTTTCATTTTCTTTCAAAGTTTTAGTGACTTAGCCACAGATTTTTGAAGCAATTTCTTTCCAGAGATGATCACCCTTACAGACTGTCGTAAAACCCGTGGCCATTTTGCAAATGAATGCTAACATTCAATTGCAAAATAGAGCAATTTTGAGTGCCTCATTTTGACCGACGTTTTCAAAAATGCAAGCTGACAGTCCTACTCTTGTAGCTTCCATCCCTCTATTCTTACATTCATCCAGTCCCCGTGCCACAAAAAGAGCTAACTGCAGAGGGATTTGTAATTGTCAGCACGCGAATCGTGATTTGGTCCTATTTACTGGCCTACATCCAGAGTGCCGATGGAGCACCGTAGAAGTATTCGCGACGTTCCACTGACCACTCCCCATGGATAAGTTTAGTAGAAAGCACTGTAACGTGTTTGTTTTGAATAGAGCGACTGTTCGGGAACAGTGGCCCCGCCCAATGGTTATCATACTGAAGGGCCAGGTTTATTCAGGCCACTGGGCGATTCTCCCTGGAAGTCAGTGCACAACATATACCCTGCGTACTAAGTTAAGTAGTCCAACGGTTGACTAAATGCCAAACCTAGATTGAATTGCTCACTGCAGATTTCTGCAATCCTGAGGTCCACATTATCCATAATATAACATGTATTTTTTGAGCAAGGGAAATACTGCATTATCTCTCTAAAAGGTAATTTCTTTGAAAGTTACTTAAAAATAAAAAAATACAAAGCATAAAAAGGTCAAACATGCCCTTAGGAAGTACAGAATAGGTCACATAGAGGAACTAGGGAGAACATTTTTGTAGAAAATTTGGCAAACCTTCAATTCAAGATTCTCAGAAAATTTAAAAATTCAGTCCTCACGACTGCTTACTGTCCAGTATTCTTGTCCAAAATTAGAGTTTTAAAATATGTTTTAAAATGTCAGAGGTTTAGGGGAAATTTTCCCAGTTGTTAAGAATAGAGTTTTAGAAATCTGAAACACCTGCCTTTCCTGTTCAGTATGGTTTACTAGGACTGTGTAAGGTTAAAACACTTGTTTTATCAAACGTTCATGCTTAGACAATGTTGTTCAGGGTTAGAGGCAGACCTTCTTGAAACAGGCATTTAGTAGAGACAATTCACTGTAAGTGCAAGCTCAATCGCATCAATAATTGTTTGGGTGGTTTTTAGTTTTATTCGTTGTGGATGTTTCACTTTTAGTCAAGACAATGAAAGAAAATAAACGAAATGTGTTCAGAAAGTTTATTAAAAACAAAAGTGTCACACTTATCGTAAAACATTTCTGCCCAGAAGGCTAAAATTTTCTACAAAACAAAAAAGAGTTTTCATGATTTTTGTAATGTTTGTCCATACAGCCGATCGCTGGAAGACATAATTCCTTTGAAAGTCACGTCTTTAACAGGCGTATTTAACGTCATCCAATCAGCCTAGGAGCGCGAACGGCCAAAAGGGGTGTTTTGTGGGTGGGGAAACGCAGGATCTCTTTATTCATTTTGCGGTCACAATTAATGGAGTAAACGTTAATTTTATGATGTTTTTGAAATGGTTACGCATTTTTTTGTTATTTTGAAATACTTCAAGGGAACAAAATGTTTTTTATTTCTGTAACCCTTTAAGGCAAAGACTAGACGCCGTACAAGTGCTATTGCCGCCCTGAACTTAATGAAAATTAAATACAACTGCGTGGCAGTTGAGCTAAACGCCGAAGTCACGGACCACTTACCCAGGGATGTGCAACCGCGAGCGGCCCCAGTACAAACAGATGTGCGACCACCCATCCATGCGTGTTACGGATTGTTATTACCCCCGCAGGCGCTGTCGACTTTCTCGAAAAACTCGCGACCACATGACACGCGTTGCAGCATGTACCATGTACAGTTGTGCTGAGACGACGCGCCGACGCGGTGCTTAAATCTATTCGTTTCGACGAATAAATCTTCTTTATTTATCAATTTCAAGCAGAAACGAAGTATTAATGAGTCAAAATTCCCTAATTTTGTGGTACACACTTTCTTAGAATGTATAGGATGAAATATATTGAGCAACATATTTTTAGAAAGGCTGTACCCTGATGTAAAATATTACAACAAAGAAAACAATGTTGTAGATAGGAATATAGGTTTTATTATAAGAGATAATCCTGTTTAATTTCTGCTTTGATATTGTGCCGGCCGTAACACGCATTGAACTAGCTCTCAGCTTAAGATGCATATCCTGGGTAAATGGCCCGTGGTTAAATACAGCAGTGTCCTGCCACTGCCATTGAAGGGTTTGCCGCACTGAATTCAATTCGGCCGAGCTTAATTGCGCTAAACACCGTGCCATTGCTGTGTCGACCCTTAAAAACTTGAATGGGAGAGACGCTAGTGGCCACCGGCACACCAGTCTTCTTTCACAGTACTGCGTGTGTTCAGAACTATGCACGCATGCGCAGAACAACACGTGCACGCAGGTCATTTCGCCTGTAATAAATAGCCTTACGTTTGGGGGATCTCAAGAAGTCAGATTGCACTTCAAAACTCTGTTAAATTGTTCCTATTAGCACCAGATTCCCTTGCCTTGGTTGAAATTGTCACTTAAATAAAATACTTCCATTTGCTATGGATGCTTACTTTCCAATGTCTTTAATTTTGAATAAATTCCAAAAATCTATTCGAAACCAGTAAAAACAAATGTAATGTAATAAATCCAATAAATATCTCACAGTATGATACATACTAACAAATATTACAATTTACATAAAACAAAGAGAACATTACACATGTATTGTGTCTACTAATAAACACACTCCATGGTACATACAATACGTAAGATAAAATTTAACCGACAGACATTGGAGAGTGTTCAACTCAGTGAATCCACGATGATTCTGCCTTTACTTAAATCTAACAAACCACTCAAAAATCTATCTGTCTAAGAGTTAAATTCTTTCAAAGCAAATTTTCCCTTCTTTTGCCAGATGGTGTTTCTAGTCTAAAATCAACACATGGTCACATCAACTGCACGTTTGACAAAGTATGATACTACACATTATGTTTGTATGGATTCTAATAATCGTCAGTTTGAATGTGAGTAAAACCAGAATGCCATGAAGAAGCTGCATATTCTGTCACAGGTCTCATGTAAACCAGTGCCGTAGCTAGGATTTTACTAGTGGAGGCACAAAAGGGCACGCATCTGGGGGTGGGCACCAGTTTTCAGTGGTGTGGCTTTTGGGGACAACGTTTTGTTAACCTTGTTCAATATCCATTCATCCGGTTTTTTCGGGGGGGGGAGGCACCGGGAATGTGCGTGTGTGTGGGGGAGGGGTACGTGCCCCAAAGCTCCCCCGTGGATACGCCACTACGTGTAACCCTTATACAGAGCAACAAGTTAAGTATGAGTCACACTGTTCCTTGTTCAATTTCCCCGCATCCAGGATTTCCTGTTGACCTTATTAGTCATGCCGACAAGATTACCAACCCACTTAAGATAGGGTACTTCCTACTTAACACGCTGTGTTAAACATTACATACACAGTGTGGACTTCAGCACAAAAGAAGTTCTCATAATGTAGAGAAAGCAGACACTGGAGGTATCAGTGGAAGAGTAATATTTAATGTACAGAAGTATAATCAGGAAGATGCCTTCTGCCAAGCTAATTGCGCATTGTTTGGGATTTAAATTAGTCAAGCGAAATCCCAATGCCAAGTCAGTAAGTTCCTCTTCGATCTTACTAGTACCATCGAAATGCCTATTTTTACTCAGTGTCAGATACTCTTCAACAGCTGCTCCGAGCATGACGTGCTGCATTATAAAGCCAGGCTTGAAAGTCACCGGGCCAAGTTTCGCACCCTGGGAATATCCCCAGTTAATTTTAGCTACTAACAAGTTTGTGATACCTATCTCACAATTCACAATACCAAATGCCTTTGTGAAGTCCGTAAATAAAGGGTACCCATGTTCCTAGGGTCATTGAAACTTATTAATGGTAAGCATAACCAAGACAATGGGTAGTTCAAATACCTTTTTGATTACCACATTGTCGTTGGTTCTGTCCAGTGCTATTCATATAGGCCTTAAAACCTTCAGCTATCTCAGTCGATACTGGGTGAAAGAGATGGATGGAGTTTATGCAGTATTGGCAGCCTTTCGTGCTACAAGGGATCGGAACAACGTGTAATTGTTTTCACCAGGTTGGAACAATGTGCTGAAAAAAACTGTTCGGGGTATTTGGTTTAAGATCAAAGTTAGCATGGCTGCATATAAACGACAAAATAGCTACGGGGTACACATGTAAGCATTTAAAACGATGGGATCCATTCACTAAAAATTTCAGATAAACAGCAGTAAAAATAGGTTTAATAGTAAAATGTAACTTCATTGATATGACTGTATATATGATTCCTTTCATGTATGACTGTAAACAGATAGAAGTAGGCCTCCTCCAAATGGAAATGTAGGAGATACAGCCTGGATTAATTGCAAGCTGAAATGAATTTTAAATGTACACATTGCGGACCTTTCAAAGTTCACGGACACCAAGGACCAAAATTCACTAAAGTCGTTGGGACAATTTTCGTTACATTTTCCCAAAGACGTCAAATCTTTGGAAATCAGACTGTTCCTGAAGTGCAACGTTCATACACAATTCCCATTGCAATTGGCTTGCGTCATATTTTTGAATACTCAACTGCACAGTGACAATAAGTCTGTCTACTTTACATGAAGCCTCTGCATGTTGGAGATTCAATATCACTTCAGGTCATGTTTTACTCTTGGGGGATGCATGATTTAATCTCTGTCTCACACTATGATGTCAAATGAGCACCACTCTTTTCCTGGCAAACTGTACTCAGCATAATATGATGAAATGATCTTTTCTCTTCATGCAAACACCGCAAAATGTGTATCTACGTTTTAGGCCACAGGCATGGTCAAGAATCCATTTTTCTGGCTAATGGCGTAAAACAGCCCTATCTTCATTCTCCCTGAGGTAATGGCCGAGGTTCAAATATAGATTTCAGGAGTACGTGTTAGTTCAGAAGAGGAGGTTTCGTTCTGAATATCCATTAGGTTTTTCCCTCTTCATTCTGGTTTTTCTACGGTTTTGTTGTCGGTTGATAAAAGCTTGCTGCTTTCGTTTTGTGCTGTAATTCCACCTCGTGTTTTATTTTTGTTACTTTAAGTTTGATTTGGGAAATAATGAATATGGTGTTTAATACACTGACGGTATTTCACATTTTTACATTTGCATGTTTTGCAACACATATAAAAGAAGACAAAATCCAGGTAGAATGACCCAGTATTCTGTAATCCCACGTCTTTAAATCCACCTCCCCAACAAAAAAAAATGTATTTTAAGCATAACAGATTATTTCTCTGAAAATTAAGATCGTTCCGTGGGAGAGTATTTCAATAATGAAAATACAATCAATACGAAATTCACATTTTCTCCCTAGAAAACACAAAATATGTCCCTTAGAAGACGTGGCAAATAACCTTTAGCGAAATTGGCACAGTTTCAATTCCAAATTAGCAGATAAATTTTCAGGCTTTAGGCGTAGAGAAAAACCCGCCGCTACTAGGTGGCTACTTGACCCAAAATTCTTCAATTATATGGAGTTTTGCTATGAGAACCAAACTATAAATTAATGGCGACATTTATGCACCAATCAATTCAAGTCAAAAAGTTTTGGACAAGTTATATTCTCCATTGCAGCTGCTTTCTCAACAGCAAATACCGGATGCAAATCCAGACCGTACCATCCCAAATTGTAATATCTGCGAACATTTTGATAATGTGCTTCAATCCGTCGGCTGCAGTCTTCGCGCCCACCATCATTAGGCGAGCACCACGTGTCAAGGTGGTTGAAAGAAACAAATCTTTCCGCCAGAAATTCAAAAAGCTGAAAGTTTGTGACATTTTCAAATTCTCTGCAGGCGGTAGGTGACGTCCCGATGTACCGCTTGACGATACAATATCCCTGCAACAACGGATTCGGAGACTTCAAGAAGTGCCTCCCTGCGTGCACTGTGACGCGTACGTCTGGAACGGTCTCATTGGGTTTGATTTCGAAACCGGGTTCAAGGTGCTGGGAGTTGTAGGCTTCCAGGTTGTTGTTGACGTCCAGGTGCCAGTCATAACAATCATGCTCAAAGAAGTAAGCGTAGTTCAACAAAATGTTGACGGGGCTAACCCTGGCCCCTTTCACCCTCAGTTTCCTGAAGGCATCCTCAAAGTTGGATACCTGAAAAATAGATTTTTTGTCTTAACTATTCTGCAATTCTCTTCCCAACGCAACAAATAATCCCATTCGAATCACAGATATGCCACCAAGATGAAACAAACACGGGTTTAAACTTTATGATCCGCCTTTAGGAACAACTTACAAATATGATCCGGAAGAAAAGTGTTAAAAACAAATAAAGTAAATTTTTTCTAAATCTCCATTAATTCAAATTTAAGAAAAGATTTTCAAAGTACAAATGACACCTAGGGCCTATTTCCTTTTCACGGAGGTTTCAGCTCCATCAATGTTGTATTGTAAGGCAAAGCGTTCGAAAATCAGAAACTACTTTGTGAATAGAGGAAGCTTCTTTTTGTGATTCGTAATTGTTAACAATTGCGTTTGGCATGATAGCTAAGCTGTTTAGGGTGTGGAAAAAATATAAAAAGGATTCCCGGAAATGTAAAGGTTTCAATCTTCTACTTACTTTCATGTGTTTAAGAATGTGTTCTCTGCAGTTTCGAATGGTATCTCTCCAGATATAAACAGGGAAATATGTCATGAAATCCGCCACCAGATTCTTTCCCATAGCAAGTTTGGTTGTTTTGTCCCAGCCATGTCTACGGGGAATGTTCCAGTTAGTAAATGTTACTACTCGTAATCGATGGTTGTTGAAGATGTTTTCATTGGTGACAGGTGTTGTAAACATTCCGTCCGTGTCAATCCATGCAATGATAGATGTGTTGATGGACAGATCCATGAAGAAACTGCTCCATAGTTGGCGGCTGTATCCCCGATCTCTCTCTATTTCCAAGATCGAGACATCGTTTGGGAGAGGCTCGTAAATGAAATCAAACTTGACGCCAAATGCAGGCTCTTGTTGACTCAGTCGAACTGCCAACTGATGATCGGCTGCCGATTCCTTGTCTAATATCACGCTGATGTGACCCAGCTTCGGTGACCAGAACAAAACGGCAGATCGTAAGAAGTCACAATACAGACGCTGGGTCAACTTAGGCACGGCTGCCATGCGTAGGGTGAGAGTCAGAGTCTGGCCTTTAGTGGAGAGAAGACAACTATTTCGGAAAGTAGCCAGATCCGTTGGCAAGGGAACTGTTGCATGACGACTTTGCCTGTTTGAATAACCGGAGAATATGGCTTCGTAAAGTAGGATTGAAATCGTTAAGATCACAAGGAATGCATAAACGAACAACAGAGATCTTGCCATGCTCAGAAGCAGGTAGACCTTGGGTACAGACTCCCAGTGGAACTTTTGCACAGACAGTTGATAACGGACCATTACAGCCTTAATTGATGGGACGAGGTTGAAAGCCATGAAGGAAAGCAAGTATGCCTTAGACTGGTTCCCTTTCCCTAAATAGTCACCAGACGTCCTTTGGACATCAAATGTAAAGTGACCGTTGGCAGTTAATAAATTCCGGAGGATATTCCTTCCGGTTTAGGTCCCCTTATTCAAAAGGTGTATCCAAGTATGCACTGAATTAAACTACGTACGTTGTTGCTGTAAAGTGTGCGGGACCGTATTTTGAGAATAAATGGACGGACAGAAGACTCTTTCGGGCTCGACTTCGGTTTGATTTATTCACACATGAGGATTTAGAGTGACCCTTGGTCTGGGAGGGTAAAATGGAATGCCAGATGCTGCTGATGTGGAATCCAACGTCCTGGGGGTACTGTGACGTGCTTGTATATCTCGATGGCTTCCCTGCGTCTTGGGTACCATCTGTTGACTGGAGCGAGGAGTTGAGCTGCTTGCCAGTTGATGACGTGATCCTTGACGTGTGAGTGCTTGACAATCGCTGATTTATCGTTGTCACCTCTGCGTTCTTGGTTGATATGTGTTCTTTGGGTCTGGTGGGCAAGTCCCCACCAGTCTCACCGATATACACCTTCCCACATTTGCAGGGGATTTTGTAGACACCAGCTTTTGTCTGATGGTCTTGCTTGTCCTTATGGGTCTGCAGGGTGGCTTGAAGTTTCTTGGCCACAGTGTGAAAAACTGGGATTTTAGTTTCGTGAAGGATGCGTTGGATCCCGTGGGATACGTTTCCTATATATGGTAGGGTCACTGTTGCCTTGTGCGAAGGTGGTTGACTTAAGTTATAGGAGACCCGACAGTCAGTAGTCTTGGGTTCTTGGTCTTGGCGGTAACCGCTGCGCTTGAGGGCTCTTGAGATGTTCATGAGTTCTTCTTGGATGTGTTCTTGGTCGCAGATCTCGTAGGCTCGCTGCACCAGGGCGCGGTTGACTGATGACTTGATGCTCGGGTAGTGGAACGATGCGTTGTGTAGGTACCGGTCTGCATGGGTCAGCTTGCAGTGCGGTAGACGGTATGCCCCAGGGAACTATCTGGGTGGTGCGAGACCTTGACATCCAGGAAAGGAATGGATTTCTTCTCCTCCTGTTCCATGGTAAACTTGATGTTGGGATGCAGGTCGATAAGACTTGAAGCTATGTAGGGATGCAGGTCGTTGAGGTGATCCAGGAACGCTTGCAGGTCTGGGGGGCCATGTGGCCAAATGACGGAGGCGTCATCCACATAGCGTATAGCCACGTGCTCGGGCAGTGATCTGCTGTGTTAAGCGTGGCGAACATGAACATGTCAGCCAGGACAGGGATCGAGGAGATCCCATGGAGGTCCCAGATAACTGTTGGAAGAATTTGTTCACCACCTGAAGCTGGCTGACGCGGGTTAGCAACAGGTCATGGGTTTGGTCCGGAGATAGGGCTGTGCGCTCACAGAGAGTGGGGTGTTGCTCTAGACGTTCTTTGGAAATGAGGAAGGCCTCGCCAGTTGGGACATTGATGAAGAGGGAAACGACATTAAAGCTGACCATGACATCATCAGGGCTGGGTTGAAGTTGCTTGATCATCTGAGCAAACAGATCAAAGTTGGAGCTTCAAGTCTTATCTCTGCATGAAGCATAACTAATTTTGCTAAGAAAGTAAGTATGATTGTGTGAATTTTGCCAGAATATTTCAAAGGCTGGCTTGCCAACGTTGAGTCACATTCATTAATTTAACTCACTCAAACGAAACCAAGTAAACATATAGCCCGAGAACAGAGACTTTTCACTTAATGCCATTTTTGATCTTACCCGCCAAATCTGTATTATATATTGGGAACTGTCGATAAGGACGACACCAGACTGTTTTCCACTTTCGTGCGTTTCCAATCCTTCCTTGCCATAATTTTCAGAATTTGGCAAGGTACAGTTCTGTTTGTTCAAATATGAATTTGAAATTATTTATCAGAATATACGAGTGCAAATGTGTCATACACTTTCATCTTGTTGCTTTAATTTTTCTCGTTAACCTTGCTTTTAAATTCAGTATGGCCGGCCCCATGAATAAGATCAATTTCTCTCATGCAATGGTTTCATGCAGGTCACAATGCAGAATTTTCCCAAAGGGTGCAGTTGGCTTTATGCAGTGCACAATTCGGTTCGTAAGTGACTTTGTCGCAAAGGCGTACGCGCCACGATTTTCAGGCTCCCATTGGACGACCGCAGAACTTGCGCGTTAAAAGTAAGTTTGTTTTCCTTGCAGTTTGGGCGGCGTTGCCCGGCCAGGGACAAGGAGTGCGTGTTTGGCAAGAGTCCGACTAGGTTGATTTTACAAAATAGACGGCGGAAGACGCCCCTGAAAACCAGAAAAATTCTGCGTTCCGTGATTTTTGTTGTCAGGAGTGAGAGAAGCCATAGACGGCACACGTTACAATTCTAAGAAACGGTGATTTCGTGCGCACAGTCTCATCATGAGAGTTTACAATCAACAGAGCACTCAAAATCCCGCTTAGATTAGAAACAGCAAAATCGAATTGATGGGGTTTTCTGAAGAAAAAAATGAATCAAGCCAGTAAACCTGAAAGAAACATCATGAAAGTCGCACCCCTGTACCGTTTCAATGGCCAGCTCACACTTCTTGCCGCCGAGGCCATTTGTGCGGGGAGTAAAATTCAGTCACAGGCCTATATCTAATGATGTCAGGTCCAAAATTAAGAGATTTAAAGAGCATGATCCCAATTTTTACAATTTTCTGAATATCTGCTCATGTACATGTAAATGTAAAACTTTCCATCTCCCACATTACAGAGACAACTGTACTACCCATCAAAGAGACAGCTGCAAAATAGACTGCAATTTTGTCCATTTAAAGTAGGATTGTCGCAAAAAAAGGTTCCGGAAGGGAAGTTTGATTTTGGTTTTCACAGAGAGAAACTTGAATTGTGACTTTTAAAAGTTGCTTGTGATATAACAGTTGACAAAATAGCGTGGGAAGAAACGAAGAGGAGTGAAGAAAGGAAATAGACTGAATAATAATTCAGGAACCCAAAAAGGAACCTGAACGCATTCCATCTACATGTACTTG